ATTTTAGTCACAGCATGTGTTTTGAGGCATCAAACTTTTGACATGTGATAAAATGTAATCACTACAAAACATATTTGAGATTGGATTTGTGGTGCAGAAGTTAGATGTAATCGTACAGTCATGTCAAGTGGTTTCCAGCAAGCAAACAAAATACACACTTTGTTACTATGACGAATATGCAAAGTACTGTATTGTCATATCACTTTTTCCACAGATTGATATTGGGTATAAAGGGTTAATGATGAGGAGCCTTTGTGAAAAAGTGCAATTTAGCATACTTTTAAAAAGAGTACTTGTTACGGAAATAATATACTTTAAATGAATACACTTAAGTGTGAACTCCATGTAAAGTATTCAGACACTTAAGTGCATGTTAAATGAAAATGTATTATAGTTTTCATTTTAGATTAAATGCAGTTAGCTGAACTTTAGAGTGCTTTTTGATCCACTTAGGTAGACGTTAAGTACATCTTTCACAATTACTTCTATTGTCTTTGAAATATGGTTAAGTGTACTGCTGAATCTATACTGACTTTAATATAATTTTCTGTGTCATGTGTTTAAATGTGACCCTGGAGCACAAAACCAGTCTTAAGTCGCTGGGGTATATTTGTAGCAATAGCCAAAAATACATTGTATGGGTCAAAATAATAGATTTTTCTTTTATGGCAAAAGTCATTAGGATATTAAGTAAAGATCATGTTCCATGAAGACATTTTGTAAATTTCTGTAAATACATTAAAACTTAATTTTTGATTAGTAATATGCATTGCTAAGAACTTCATTTGGACAACTTTAAAGGTGATTTTCTCAATATTTTAATTTTATTTTTTTGCACCCTCAGATTCCAGATTTTCAAATAGTTGTATCTCGGCCAAATATTGTCCTTTCCTAACAAACCATACATCAATGGAAAGCTTATTTATTCAGCTTTCAGATCCAAATATGTTTGTAATTAGACATTTGTAATGATGAAGTTGCAATTTAGTACATTTGAAATATATTAACTTATGATATTGAATAACATACAGTTAAAATTCAAAATCAAGTACTTCATAAAATAAGTGTACTTCTTTAAAGCATTACAAAAGATTATTTGAACATGATGATTGAAAATGTACCTTAAAGTGTTTTTTTTTAATTTCACATTATTAAAAAGGGCACTTTTTAAACGTGTACTAAAGTGTAAAACTGTCATGAAAGTGTCTCTCTTTAAGTACCTTTTATTTTATTTTATTAATATTATATTTTCCGTGAGTACAATTTCTTAAATACTTTTAAGATTTGAAGTACACTACAATTGCACATTCAATACAACTAAGTGCACTTCTTTTTCACAATGGACGTTTCCATGCTGGTGCTTGTGGTGCGGACCTGTTTGATGTCAGTTTTGTTGTGGTGAAAGAGATTTTCAAAACTCTGGTACAGTTTGCAATCGATATGAACACAATCTGTCCTAAATCACAGAAGTTAAAACTCAAATGACAATGTGAAAGCAGGAATGGGGCAGAATCAAACTACTGTATAGTTAAGACAACCTCACTGTGCATTAATGTGGAAGACAAAGTTATAACCACATTTAGCCTTAAAATACAGGATCTTGACACTGGGACGATCCATTCTGATGGTTTAGTGATCAAGAAACTAAATTAAGCCAGACCAAAAGCTCTCTGACTCTAGCAGCATGTTGATTTAAACCATACACGCTCATCTCAGTCTCAATAATGACTCACTTTGGCATCTTTGACTGCTTCGGCACAAGGAAATGTTTAAGTCAGAATATTGAATATATTTCCTATAGTAAATAGATGTTGTCTTAATAGGATGGAGTCATATGGCCTGTGGCTCTTTCTGTCAAGCTATATTATAAACAATTACATTTTTGGCATCATTCATTGTGCACATGTGAGCCATAATTATCCTTCACAGGGAGGAACCCCTTTGAGATTAAAAAGGCTGAGATCACATTAATCATTTGGGATGCAAAATCTAATTTAAGTCTTTAACTAAAAAGTTTTAGGATTTTTAAATTACCATCACAGCTTCCATTTAAAATCATGACAAAGCATTTAGTCAGTGGGTTCTGTATTTTCCCTCAAAGCATAATCAAGTTTACATCACATGTTGGATAACAAATTTATGAAAATATGATTGACTATTGCTCCTTACTGATCCAAGTGAAGTCATATGAAGTTCTTACGATGACTTATTATTCCAGAGTTTCCCAAATTTATTTGTCAAACCCCTTTGACCTAAAATGTTAAGTTAATATTTAAATAATTTAACGCATTCTTGTATTCATGGTTCTGATGTTGGTTCATGGTCACATGACATACGCATCTTTATTTGTCATTTAATACGTTTTTATATTTCTATAATCTGCTCAGTAATTCATATGTTAGTGGTAAATAAATAAAAAATCTTGCTGAGCACCAAGAATAAGATGCTTAGCGGTCAACTGCCAGCACTATGTCGGCAGTGACTGGACAGCCAGTGAGTCGAGGCTGTATATTTATCACCCTCCCTACGACCTGCATCAAATGGGGAGATTGGGGTAAACGTATTGCCTTGCTGCCACTAGCCCATTACTCTGACCCATAATCCATCCATCTCACAGAACAGCAGAGCTCCTGAGCCAACCCACAGCAATGCCGTCCGACACTCAAACCCTAAGCAGAGTGCAGGAAAAAAACCAAAAAAACCAGGGCTGGCACAGGGAACGCCTCCCTCACTGTATTTACAAACACAGCTGCTGCCATAGGAGTCCTGATGAGGGCGTGACAAAGAAGGGGGCGCTTATAGTCATGCTGACTGCACCAAAACATGTTCAAGCATTTGCAAGGAGTTACGAGGAGAAACACGCAAGTCTAGCAAATGTTTTATTCAAAAAGTTTGATAAAAGTTGAAATCCGTTTGTAAATGACTTCTATGAGGGGATCTATTTACTATGCAGTCCAGATGCAGACGTAAATAGACACATGCCAACATTCTGGGCATACCGTGGGGCCACTGGGAGGGGCCTATGGGGCTCCACACACACTAGTACACACTATAAACACTCGCACATCGAGACGCGCCCTATGCCACTATATCGCACTGTTCAAAATGAAGGACAAAGCTGACCTTGCTGTAAGTGCGCAAAACCTCTCTGTGACATATGTATACAACTAATATCATGAGATCATTTATGATAAGACACCATTGTGAACGACGATTAGGCTATTAAAGGGTTGTCTTTCCCCTTAAATTCTACCAACATAAATTTAAGTTTAAATCCTTTCTGGAAAAAGTTTTAAGAGCTTGAATAAATGCTTTATTGCATACTCTTACCAAAAAAAGTTTATTTTATTAAGTATACTTAAGTAAAGTTCAAGTATATTTTTAAGTATACTTTATGTAGCAAGTATACAAATATCAGTGTACTATTAGTATACTTGTAAGTGTACTATATTTCAATGCTCCTTGGGACTAAATTGGCCCACTTTCTAGTATATAAAAGTATACTTTTAAGTATACTTTAAGTATAACAGTAGTACACTTTAAGTACACAACTAGTTTACATCAATATTTTTAGCTTGTACTGCAACTATACTAAAAGTGAACTTACAGGTATACTGATTTTTAGTAAACCTATATAGTATAGTCTCAGTAAACTACTAGTTTAGTAGTTTTATACTGCAAGTATACTCGTAAGTTTTCTTTAAGTGAACTTTACATCATACTTTAAGTATACTACTATGTCCTAATTTAGGTATTAATTTGTATTTATTTTGTTATATGAATATCTGAACATACAAAACACCAAAAGAAAGAACAGGGTATCTGCTTGTAAACAAAAACCTTTTATTCTAGCTTCATGCGTTCTTTTTTTAAACACTTGAATGTGGGTAAGTTTCATAAATAAAAAGAAAAAAAAGAAAAGAAATAAACAACATTTTGAACAAAAAGCTGAAAAAAAGACTATGAATTGGATTCAGAACGATAATCAAAACGTAGATAGAGTCGATCAACACCCCAAAGCTTGACAGTCATTATTACCTCTTGATTGGTTGACATTACATCAACTTTACACAGTTTTGATGCTGTTTTATGTCTAATGATCGTGTTAGATTACATGTGGAAGCATCTGTTGTTTCGGTTTCTTCTTCACTTGTGTTTTTTGAAAATTCTGTACAGAAGATGTACCTACAGTATAACAATGAAAACACAGATTCTAGGAACACAAGTATAGCTCAAATATATTTAGACTTTTTCTAAGTATAAGTCAAGTATACTTAAATGTAATTTTAAGTATAATTCTGAGAAGTACATAAAGCCAATTTCTGAGAAGTACATAAAAACTAGACTAAAAGTATACTTTCCTATTTTTTTTGTTTAAAAGAAGTATACTAACAGCACACTTGAATAAACTTCTTTTTCGTAAGGGTAGGCTATTTAAGTTATTTTTCTATCTAAGCTTTTAAAGTGAGAAGTTGTGAAGAATGGGAGGGGAAAAGAAAGAGTGTGACGTAGTGACGCTTCAGGGCGGTGTTCTCACGTTTCCCAAAAAAGAAAGAAAGAAAGGAGGGGAAAAAAGCAAATGCTGTGGTACTACATCTGGAATACAGAGACGCGTGCTTTGAGAATCTACAGTGGGATCCCATAGTAAAGGCAACCCAGTGTTTTCTTCCTGCTCTCTTTCGCTTTTCAAGGATTTCCCCCCTCTCTCCCTCACCTGTAAGTTGGAGAACAATGGAAGTTTTTTTTTTCCTTTTTCCATTTGGTTCATTTATGGAATATTTGTACGTCATTTCAGGAGATAACGTTACTCAGCCACGTTTGTTTACTATTATTTTCCTTCTGGAGACGTCCTAACCTCACATCGTTTGTCTTTTCTCGGGAAGTTTGCTGTTTTATTCAAAGTGTATTATTATTAGTAGTACGCTATTTATAGTTTTACACATGTTTGTTTATCGAGTTCGTTTGTTAATTATAGTATTAGTTTTCCATTGTTAGTTTTGATTTCAGTCATAGTCGCTCGCGAAGTTTTGCAATAACTGGTCTGCATGAAAACAACTGCTTTGGAATCTTCCCCTCCTTTTCTTGTTGTCTGCTTCCGAAATCTGCCTCAATTCGTACTCATGGATCATTTTAATTATTAAATTTTTGTTAGCTTCTCATAATCTTTACTTTCTGAGGGGGGGGGGCACCTCGAGAAAAAAAACCGTGACTGCATGTGGGATGTGTTTTTCTGATAAATATAGACATCTAAATGGCTTTTCAAACATTGCAGTGTGATTAGTGTAATTATCAACGTAATGTATCCACAATACAGATGTTTTCGATGAATATGAAGGAGAAAAAAAAAACAGAAAATAGACAGAACTCAAGGGGTGTTTGGGTTGAGATGCGTTTGACAGCAGCGCGATCTAGTGGCCAGATGTGGAAATGCAGGGGTAAACGCTGCCCGCGATAAAGCCTCCCAGGTGGGTGATTGAGGAGGAGATGTGATTACTTTCTCTTTCTGTTCTCTTAGACGAACCTCAAAATGCTGGCCATTCTGTTCGCAACGATAGTCTTGCATCTGACAGACCTTATCATTCTCTTCGTTTCCACATGTACTAATGTGAGTATCATCTTTGAGGTCTGACTTGCTTGATTTGCCTTGCGTTAATGGGTCGTATTTTTGAGCTGGAATTGAGTGAAGGATTGGTTTATGTGTATATGTAATTATATGGGTGTTTTTTTAAATAAATGAAACAAAACACAGGCCTGGAGAACACATGGAGTTAGGAGTTATGACCTCTGGTATGACTGCACTCAAAGTAATGGAGGATATCACTGCCGTGGGACTAGTGATGCTGGTGAGTTCAAACAGTCTTTAAAAAGTCTTAGATTTTAAAATTGAGTCTAATATTCCATAGTTCCATAGTTATTTAAAAGTTCCAAATGGGCGCATCAACAGTACACCAACGAAATGTGTTCTTATTTGAGAAAGAGAAACATATGACTTAAGAATAGTATATGTTTATACTATCTATGTAAGTGTTCATTCTGATTTTCCGGCTGTGTTTCAGACTGGCTTCAAGCAGTTCAAGCCCTCATGGTCCTAGCCACCATTTTCAGCCTGATCTCATTCATCATCTTCCTCTGCCAGCTCTTCACTCTTGTAAAGGGAGGTCGCTTTTTTTTCACGGCCGTCTTCCAGGTCCTTGCCAGTGAGTATTTCCTCTCCGAGTCTATTAGATCCCATTTCTCTTGTCCCAGCTGAAGGACCCCGTCTACATGTTTTTATTCTTTCTCTTTCTTTCTCCCGAAGGTCTGTTTGTGATGAGCGGGGCCATCATCTACACTGTGATGAGTCCAGAGTGGAAAAATGAGAGTGATGGTTATGGATACGCCTTCGTCCTGGCCTGGCTGGCTTTCCCTCTCACGCTCATCAGTGGCTTCATTTACATTGTCCTGAGGAAGAAAGAATGAGAGTTCAGCCCTCAGGGATTGTTGTAGAACTGAGAACACTACTCAGATGACAGACTCTAACCTAACGGCCGTCTCCTCCAAGCCTGAATATTTAGACCTAATGTGATCAAAGAAACTGACAGAAGATTGAGTACAGCAAAGACACAGTGTGCATGACACACAAAAAATGTGTCTTTGACTGGTGAGCCTATATTTATATCACATTTATATGGCTTTTTTTGTTGTTGTAAATAGTAATGCTATGAAGTGTCAATGAAGGCCCTGACTTTTTAAGAATTAGGAGGAGAGATATAGGAAAAGTATCAATCTCTTTTTGTTTTGTATTGTGTGTTATAATCAAATACCTTGTTTTAAAATGTCATAATAAATTGCATTTGTTGACGTCGACTTGAAATTTTCTCTTATGTCCAAATTCCGGAATAATAAAACACAGAATTGTGTTGTTATGTGTTTGAAAAGTCTTGGAAATGGTGCTATGTATTTACCATTGCTGAACGTTATAGCTAGATATACCTTATAGGCTCAGATGGTGTGTTAAATCTCACAAAAACATTTTATAACGCATATTTTACCTGTGATTATATCACTTTATGAGATGTCGTCTTTCTGTATTATTTTTTGTTTGTTCAAGAAAAAAATAAATATCTAATTTTTTTCCTTGTCTCAATTTTCAATACTTCAGGAAGATCAAATGTGCGTCCCAAATCACGCACTTATGCACTATTCCATGACGTTTGTAGTATAAACAGTGCGAGTAGTGTGTTCACACTGAAAATGTCCACTTCTACTCAAAACACTTCATGTCCACACTCTAAAAAATGCTGGGTTAAATACAACCCAGTGCTGGGTAAAATAGGGACAAACCCAGCGTTTGGGTTAAATGTTTAACCCAGCCTTTTGAGTAGTAACCCAACCGCTGGGTCAAAACAACCCAATCGCTGGGTTTGTCCCTATTTTACCCTGCACTGGGTTATATTTAACCCAGCATTTTTTAAGAGTGCAACATTCCTCTGTCTCAGTGTCACAGCTTTAATTACATACCGAAGGGTGAGGGGCTATCAGACTCCGATCATGAATGACAAAATAACCGTATATAATTCATACACTACATGGTTGAGTACATATTGCATAAGAACATAGTGTATAGTGCGTCATTTGGGATGCAGCTCAAGACCTATGCAAAGTGGGCACAATTAGCATTGAGGTGCTACATTATACAGTAAAAGAGACTTTTTGAAGTGGTAGCTATCCTTTGGTGTCCAGCTAGAAATGCAATGTAGACAAATCTGAAAAGTCAAGTAAACCCCTCCCAAAGGGGAGCACAGAGACTGAGGTCAGGCTTTCAGTCAGTAGAGGAGAAAAACAGATGTGACACAGTGATGACTTTTCATGTGCTACATGTGAGTCATCTCAGAGTCTGGAGGATCAGAAACCAAAACGTGAGTAAAGAAAAGTCTGTGTTTAAAAGTTGTCTGTCTGAATGCAGTTATTGACGGGACTAAACAAAACTATTTGTTTTTAAATGCGCAGGTTTCAGTGTGAAGTGAAAACCGGAATTACATTGGGAGATCTCAGAATAACAATAAAACATTCCCAGCATTCTTATGAAATCCTGAAGCTTCATTTGAGATGAGGGCCGTGACTAGGCTGTTGGGTTATAGTCCTGAATGTTCTTTCAAGCCACTGTATTTTGCAACACGGAAGTAAGCAATTTGTGTGTGTGTGTGTGTATGTCAACACAAAGATAGTAATACCACTATTTTTTAACTAGTGGGGACATTGTTTTGGTCCCCATGAGGAAACAAGCTTATAAATCATACTAAATACATTTTTGGGAAAATCTAAAAATGCAGAAAGTTTTGTGTGAGAGGTTTAGGGGTTGGGCTAGCTAGGGTAAAGTAGAAAATACAGTTTGTAGAGTATAAAAAACATTATATGGAATGTCCCCAAAACATGGAAACCAGTGTGTGTGTGTGTGCATAATAACGCATAATAATTACTATTATAGGCCAATACCAGATAGACAATAAAAATAAATAAATAAAACACTCTTGTTTGAGATTTATAGGCCTATACATAGCCAGCAAACATTCAACCAGTAGCCGTTGTTGAAATTTGTGATCTATTCCTAATATGGTCAATCCCACAAATACTAATTTTCATGTAAAAACTACAGCGGCAGAATTAGCAATCTAACAGTCAGAAAGAATTACTGTAAATGCTGACATTTAAACCTTATCATATAACTCGCAAGTAAGGGGTATCTGTTTGAAGAGACCAAATGAATAAATGAGTCAATAAATAAAATAAAAGAAATAGATAACAAAATATTTGATCATTAATTAATAATTACATATTAAATAATAATATGAATAATAATAATATAACCAATAAATAAGACACACACACACCACACGCTTCACATTTCAGCTGTTTTAGAATTAACGACTAGATGGCGCCAGACACTTGTTTGAAGCTTCGATTGCTGTCAGAGATATGGAAATACTGTAGATAACATCATCAGTTAAAGTTTAAAGTGGAGATCACCTAAAAGTCTAAAACAGTGATGAGATGTTAGCCCACAATTTGGTGGGGTTTTACATGCCTCAAAGTTGTCTGGTAATTTTCACCAACATTGCATGTCAAATCCTTTAATAATTATTATCATAAGTAGTAGAATCAGTCACTTTTTATAAAACTAAAAAAAAACACTTCTCAATAAACACCACTAGATAGATTATAACAAATTACTCAATGTGCAAAACCACTCTAACCAGCTTCTATGCCACAACTTTCCACAAGTTATCCTAACATTCACATCAACCCTCCGACACACCTCACAGACACAGATGTGATTCAACACTTTCTAAAAGCATCATTTGTTTTACACACACTTGAGTATCCACCCAGTCTGTTTCTTAACACAAAACATGTACCATCAAAAGTGCTCAACCAAGGCAGAGCATGCTGATAACATATTGGTAATGTGAAAAAACACTGGGGGGCCATAATGGTCTCACAGCTCCATTTCAAACATGGTTAACCTTAGAGGTTATTTATCACCCAGTGGGTCATGAGGGCCGAACAGTATTTACAACAGGACATGGAGACTTTCATCTGGGAATCAGTGAGGTGTATTTGAGGGGTTAACAATGAAGAGGACATTGGGTATGTTTGATATAGCATACCACTGTTATTATTTCTGCAGTACTGTGCACATTATGCAACTTTTGTGTATGCTTAGAGTACCTTAGAGTTAGAGCTTAGAGTTAGAGTAGAGTTAGATGATCTACATTTGTAAATTAGGCAGTATATATGCTTAGTTATTATAATGGTGTGTCATATTGTCCTAGGAAGTTCTTATTTACAAGTTGGGAAGTCTCTATGACGTCAGGAGCTTTCAGATCACTTTGGTTGGAGCAGGTTGGCCATGTACCTTTTCTACATCAAGTTTAACAAGATTTTTCTTGTTCAACAAATTGTTGAATAAAGAATGTGCATCTGATGTTTTTGCTTTTTCAGTTTATTAAGTGCTGTAAATTGAACCGTTATATATTCTATCGTAATCGTTCAGTACTATGGTATTTTGTACATGCAACTTAGGCTTTTTGTAAATGAAAAAAATAAAAATTCAGAAACTAAGGGCTTAAAGAAAAATTCCCACTTTGTGGTAACATTCACGTACGTTCAACTCAGCTTCTGTTGGTCAGTCCGTGCAAACAACTGGAACCCGTTGTGAAATCAGCTTGGGAAAATAGTTCGCATTTTCGCAAAACTCTCAAATCTGGTGAATTCTTGCTGAAATGACTGGATTCGCCAGCGAAACAACAACAAATGTGATAGCACTTTATGTAATTTTACGTCTTTACGGTTTCCCATATTCAAAGTTGAAACTCAAAGCTAGTTTTCTTTTTTTTTACTACATTCATTCTTTCCTTTATGGTTAGGCGTTTAGATATGTTAACTTAAAGCCCCATGAACGTTTCATCGTGTGCTTAGCAAACATCTTAACATGGAGTTGAAGTAGAACGGGACCTCTGAAGGACCAAGTGTGTTCTTTCTTCTCCTGTGATCCCTCCTCTTTGATCCACGCTGGCCCACGTCAGCTGAAGGAAACCTGAAAAGAGCATCTCCGGTCAGCCGGGAACCCTCCCCTCACCGCCCCCCTTTCAATGTATTGCCTTTTCATCCCAGGCGTCCATGTCCTGGAACAAAAGCAGTCCATTTAGATCTGAGTAAATTATACAGAAAATGGGAAAACTGCGTATCAGGCCTGATTTCATCATGCCCATAAATCTCAGACAAATCAAAGCCCAGCCCCTCTTTGTCTTGCTAATACACATTAGGGTGCGGCTGGCTGGTCGCTTTGACTGACAGTCGAGTGGCTACAGATGCAGATCTCAGACGCCTTTGAACTCTGACCCGCCACTGGAGTGAGTGGAGGAAACTCTGAACACCCAGGAATCTCTCTGCTCCACTTCCAGCCTCCAGGGAACTGAGACATGGATATCTGAATGCTGATGGAGAGGAAGATAAGGGACAAAAAACATCTTAGAGTTTGTCTCCTCAAGTTGGAGATAAAGGGAGAGGGATAATAACCCTGCTGCCGGCAAGGATCGGAATGCATTTCATGAAGAGCGTGGAGAAGAGGCTTTTTCAGAGGCGCTAAATAACCCATCTTGCAGACCCTCACTTTCTTTTCTTCTGGATGACCTCTTCGCCTTCCGATTCAGTTCGCGATTCAGGCAGCGCTGAAAGAGGACAAAGCGTTCCTCCGCAGCCAGCTAAATTGAGTGATCTGGGGAATGTTTCTTGCAAGCCGTATTCTTTAGCTTTATGACTTTCAAAAGCTCTGAGGAGCTTTCTGTTCTACAGACAACACTACAGGCTCGTCCTTGCAAGTAATGGCAACAAATGGCCTAATTAACAGGTGTTTTCCAGCTCTAAAGAAATGTTTAGTTCTAATTCGGATTAAACCTAAAACAACGACTTTGCCAGCTCAACATAAGAGGGAGGACTTTTTGCAAGCTTGATAAACTACATCAATTATTTGAGCTATTTTTATACATAATGAGTCTGCCATCAACACATTACATGACTAAGTTGGTGTGAAAAGGAAACGGCGGATAAACACAGTTGTTTTTCTCCACACCTGCATTCACACCTCACATATTCTCATTTTGTCTCAGGTGGACTTTCTCAACTTCTGCTGACATCTATGCATCATCAAAACAAAACACTGGATGTCTCTGAATATGCATACTTCCCTACTACATGATAAGCAAAAAACTGATGTGAAGTGAGTAGTTTGTCCGAATTCACAGTAGAAACACTAGGTGAAAAGTACACGGATTACCCTTCTACTTCCAGCCAGATTCTGATATTTTATTATCCCATGAGTCCATGCAGAAGAGTTGTGAATGGCAGTAAAGCACTGATGCTGTAGGTGTATAAACACAGATTTTATACCACACACATTCATACTATATAGACTACACTTATTATAGGCCTCAAAGTAATTACTTATTCTAAGTCTACCTACTCAGACATTATGCCACTTTGGATGCAGTCACAGTATAACACATTTAATTATCTTAGATTAGGTTGTTTGGTACAATCATACAAACTAACTCTCTGTTTTGTTCTTGCACGACTGCAGCAGAATGAACAGCACAGCTCTTACATCCCCAACCAGCTGTCAGTGGAGTTGTCTGTAATCCTCTGGTTGTGGATGGTGCGAGCGTCTATTCTGTGCCTCAAGATTATAATT